CTTCTCTCATGGCCTGCCCTACAAGTCTGACCAGTCCCTTCTATGAATCCTACTGTATTGTGCACAAATTTCATCCAATTGGTGTCATCCAGCTGGGACCTTAAGTGAGGCACCCAAGCTCCTGTGTTGGTTTCTGCCATCAGCCCTTAAATTCCTTGGGAGCCAGGACTGTCTCATTGCCCCAAGGATCCCTAATGCCTAGTGAGATGCCTGATACAGCTGGTACTTAATGAGCACATGGGTCAAATGGAAAAACCTGATCAAAGAAAAGGCCCTCGTTTTTCAGACATGCCTACTTGAGTACAAAGGGTAAAATGATGTGTCTTCTTGGATTTGCTGTCAAATACTTCAACAAAGGACAAATAAAGAACAAAGGTCTAAATAAAGGAAATATGGAAAAGTTTGTGAATTCCTTAATCTGGGTGATGGGCTTATTGTACTATACTTACTGATGTATACTTAAGTTAGTTTATAATTTTACTGTCATTAGCTGAATAGCAAGTATTAATACGTATTAATTGAAATCCTTAGAGCTGACCAAACTTAGCCCACACAAAATCCTTAATGTCCTAGTAGTCTGTCTTACAGAAATCTTTTCCCACAAAGACAGGAAAAAAGTGAAAGGCAGATCCGTGCAGTATTTCCACGTTGTCAAAAGACCAAAGGCCAACACAAAAGAAGAGATTGTAGAAAAGATAATGAGGCTGAAATCAATGTCCCGAAAATCTAGCTAAGAATCCTGAATGGCCCAACTTAACTAACCTCAGCACTGCCGCATCAAGAATGGGGCAAATAGCACCTAGTGGATTTTTTTTAAATAAATAAATAACGATCCAGTTCCTACCATAGGCAATTATGATAAGACTGAGCATAAGTTCTAACACCAAATAGTGTACAAATTATAATTTCTACTTGATTCAAACTGCTTCTTCTACAAAATCTGAATCTTCTTATTAAGACAGGTTTGTGGCATATGACCTAGTGATAAAATTTTCAACCCACTTGTATTCAAAAAGTTCACCAATGTGAGAGTTTATTACATCAACTGTTGCTTTTTGGGAAACCCATGTGCCTTGTCACACTCCTTCATAAGATTTCCTGTGGAAAATTCAATCCCTCATTCAGGAAAAGGCTGAGCAAATGGTCGGATGGAAAACCTTCATACACTGTAACACAAAAAAATGAAAATGACAGTGAGCATCCCGTGAAGCCAGCAGACACACACAGTGCACAGCTGTTTTCCCACCTTGACTTTCTGTAACCAGTAGGGAAAATGTGCATCTCAAGAAATAGACATAAACACTTTTCAGATCCTGAGAACACAATTTCACTTTCAGGGTTTAGTGGGCTTCCATTTAATTCTATGAGAAGTGTTTAAAACAACAGAACAACAGAGATAGGGTTTAAAGTAACTTTTATGTCTTAGTGAAAATAAAGCCAGCTGATAGTTATCATTCTTACTTTATTTGATCTCACTCTCCTACTTTACCTCCCCAACCTCCTCCACAAAATGATGGTGAACGTCTCCTCCTGGGTCAGGAGGCTAAGTAGAAACTACCAATCACATGGAGGTGTGTTTTGTTGTTTTATTTTTCAAAAGAAACATGTTTCATTCATGTGATTTAATAATTAAGATCAAGAAACAAACTGTATTCAATAAATGGTAGCCAACACATGTTGTCATAGGTGCTCATCAGGTTTGGCCCCATGTTACACACATTTACATGGACATCTGCCATGTGCTGTCATGGGACATGGTGAGTGGGGATAGGGTCTATGCTCTCACAGGGCACACAGCCTGGTGGGGGAGGCAGTGTTCAATCACTAATTTTTTTTTAATGTACTTACAAATTATGGGAAATGCTATTTAAAAAATACAAAATGAGTTAATGAAAGTGAAAAATACAAGGACAGTATTTAGGCTGAGGGAAGACAGGGAACCTCTTTGAAGAGCTGACACTCCACTGAGACCCAAAGGACAACTCTGGTGCTGCAGGTGACGGGCAGGGACACACTGATAAAGGGCTGATATCCAGAATATACCAAAATTTCTTTAAACTCAACAAGAAGGATGAATAACCTGATTAAAAAATGAGCAAAATGCCTGAACACATACCTCATCATAGTAGGAATCTAGATGTCAAAGAAGTCTATGGAAAGATGCTCCATAGCATCTGTCATCAAGGGGATGCAGACTGAAACAGCGAGGTACCACTGCACACCTGTCAGAACTGCCAAAATGCAGAACACTAACAATACTGAATGTTGGTGAGGATGTGGAGAGACAGATATTCTCATGCATTGCTGATGGGAATGTAAAATGGCCCAGCTACTTTGGAAGATGGCCTGGAAATTTTTTACAAAACTAAATGTACTCCTACCATATGATCTGGAAACTGTGCTCCTTGGTGTTTACTGGACAAAATGGAAACATGTCCACACACAAATCTGCATACAGATGTTAATAGCAGCTTTATTCATAATCACCAGAACTCAGAAGCAACTAGGCTGTTCTTCAGTAGGTGAATGGATAAATAAACTGTGGTCCAGCTAGAAAATGGACTATTATTTGGTGCTAAAATGAAATGAGTTATCAAGGCATGGAAAGACATGGAGGAACCTTAAATACATATTATTAAGTGAAAGAAGCCAATGTGGGAAGGTTCTGCAACTGTCTGATTCCAACTGTACGGTGTTCTGGGAAAGGCAAAACCACAGAGACTAAAAGATCAGTGGCTGTCAGAGACTAGAGGGGAAGGAGCAATGAATGAGGTGCAGCATGGAGCATTTTTAAGGTCACTAAGACAGACTACTCTGTATCATGCTGTGACGGTGGATACATTTCATTGCACATCTGTCCAAACCCACAGAGTGCACACCACCAAGTGTAAATCCTAGTGTCAATCATGGGCTCTGGGTGATGATGACGTGTCAGTGTAGGTTCACCCATTGTCGCAAATGCACGCTCTGGTGCAGGCGTCAATAGTGAGGAGGCTGTGGGGACAAACTGCAGTTCATACACCCAATCCAGCCCCAGCCACCACTGTTAATAAAGCTCTATGGGTGTGTGCTGTCCGGTTGCTCTGGCATCTGAACAGCAGAGCTGAGCAGCTGCACCAGAGATCAGGAGGTTTGCAGACCCTGAAATATTTACTTCCAACCCCTTGACAGAAAAAAGTCTGCTGAGCCCTGTTCTACACGAATCAGAATTCACCCTGATGAGACAGGACAGCAGAGCCCAAACCAGGCATGGTTAATGGGACTGAAGCAATGTTTAATTCCAACACCTTTGTTGAAGTCCTGCAGGTCCAGCGACAGAGTGTAGACAGGAAGCGTCTGCAGGAGGAGTCGGTAGCAGGCCTTCCCGCCAGGCTCCGGGATGCCGGGGGCCACCCGCTTGAAGAAGGCGGACTTGCAGTGGAAGCCGATCAACTCATAGAGCTCGGAGAGGAGGCTGCACTGCTGAATTCTCTCCTCCGAACGCTGAAGCACAGGGAGAAAAGCAACAAGCGTCTGAACGAAACATGTAAGTGAAAAAAGACCCGTAAAAAAGTTTTCCCTTAAAACAGAGACCCGATGACACAGGAAGGAAGAGGAAGGCTGACTTCGTGCACTGACGGGACCGGATGCAGAAACGCAGGGAAGCAGTGCTGTGCAGACGCTCCAGACCCCCCTCCGGGCCCCACCTCTCGGCGTTCCGCCTGTCCTTTTACTAGAAAGGCCCCTATTCCCTGAAATAGAGGAATCTGCTACCTAAACATGGGACACAGAGAAGGGAAAGAGGAAAAGGAAGGGAAAGTAAAGGAACGACAGTTCATCTAGACCCTAGGATTTGGGCGGGGCTTTCACCAAACACACAACCTCTCAAAGCACAGAGCACACAGTGAGAGGCTGACAGAGTGAGTGCGACATCTGCTCCTTAAGCACCAGCCACCTGCCAGCACATGTTGCGCCCGTTACTGAATCAATACAATCATCTCAGAAACT